CATCAGCAAAACGCCCAAACGCAGTATGCACTGAAAACCAGTATAATGCTTCTAATAATTACAGTAATGTTTTTTTCAAAATGTTTCAATGTCACTGAATTTACTGATAAATAAGATAAAAACCAGTTGATGAGGTTCAAAACCATTCCTGATCTGAAGTTTTCCATGTAAAAGGCATTTCATACATCGGCTTGGAAATGTTAATCAACCCTCATACCTATGCTCTCAGACATGCTCCTCTCCCGTGATTCTTTTGGTGTCCCACGACCCTCTGACAGCGATTTCCTACGGTCCTTGTTGCACCACTTCCAGTCTGGGTGGGCTCTGAAGTGGGCCTCTTTCACCTGGAGGAGGTGGAGGAGGAAGAGGAGAGGGTCTTTAATTTCCTGTTGATGTAGTTTGAGTTTCTTTAGTTCACCCGCGGTGCCTCTCACTACTCATGAAAACTACCCACTTTTTCATTACCTAATTCTTGACAAGCTGCCATTGCTGTTGGTGAATCTGGATGTCTGGAGCACAAAATTAAAAGCGCTCATATGCTGGCTAAAGAGTCACTACTGTGTTATGGTCATTAGTGATAAACTGCATGAGAGTGGATGCAAATATATTTAGCTGAAAACAATCAGATCAATTCACTTTAAGAAAGTTAACTGTACACAGATAATGCAAAACAAACTGTGAAGTGAAGATAAGAAAATAAATTAAAGAATTTTAGAGAGTATATTTTTACCTGGAAGGCCAGATCGTGGTACTGCTGCTTCTCGTTGGGCCCCAGAGCGTACCACCACTCCCCCAGGATCTTACTGACTGTCCGGTTGTCCTGGTTGGGGTGTCGCTGGTGCACCAGAGCGCGGTGGCGTTTACTGAAGATCATGAATGCATTCATGGGACGGCGGATGTGGTCCTTCTCCCTCTGTTTGTGGTTTTGAGAAGGACAGAAAGAGGTTTATGTCAAGCTGTAGGAGCGACATTTAATAGGCATTAATCTTTCTCTTCTGTTTTTCTGTATCTTTTTTTGGCTTTTCTACTGATTGACTGTCTGTGTGGTGGACTGACCTTCCTGTCTCCGTCCTTAGGAAGGGCGCTGAGGGACTGTGTGCGTCTCTTCATGGTGCCAGTGGAGGGCGACGGATCATTGGCCACACCCGGGGAAAACCTGCAATCATACACAGAGAAAAAAGTGAAACTGTGAGTGCACAAGAGCGGAAAATCAAGGGAGATTCCTCATTGTTAGGGACTTCCAGGAAAGTAACGATGCGAAAGCGCTGTGAAGAATTTAGGGAGGAATTCATTTAAGTCCTCATTCATTAAGACACTGTGTAAAAGACTGTCTACTCTTGGTTTAAAGTTTTCCAGATTTTATAGTGTATTTCACACTTTTGTGGTTTGATTTTGACAAATTTCCAAGAGACATTTGACCAGTATGACATGTGTTGCTCTATGATTATAGTGGTTACCTGCAGAAACCTGTTATTTTATTGATTTGGCAACACACAGCAAAGAGATCACATGTCAGCCAACCAGAACAGCGTCTTCCTTTTGTCTTTCTGACTTTCTTTTCCTTTCATTTAATGTTAATGTAATCACTGCACTTTTCTTTATCTGTTCAGCTGTGGTTGTTATCACTCCACATGATAACTACTAAATATTTATTCAGTTAATTCCACAGAAACCGCTGTTTCTTCTACTAATACATTCTTGCAAACCAGATTTCCAGGTAAAGAGACAAGACAGAGTAAATACAAAAAAGCAAATAAAAAAGCTGTCACCAACTGGGTTAAGCTTGAATTACTATTGTGTTACCATTGGAGAGACAGAATAGTAAAATAGACATGACTTTGTATATAAATTCTAATTATTATTTCAATACTAGTACAGTTTGATGACACATAAATCAACACAGATACGGAAAAAGGAAGAGAGTCAACAGAACCAGCCAGAAGCCAATCAGCAGTTTCAAATTCTGGCATAAGTTTTTGTTTGCAATTTTGTTTGAAACAGACACCACATACTTCCCCACTATTAGCTATAGAGCAAAGCTGTAGACTAATAAATCAGTGGTGGATAAACCAGGATTAATGTTTTCATGGCACACCCGTGAAGAAAACTTTTCAAATCACGAACAGTGATCAGAAAATGAAAGTCTTTTGAAACTGTGAGCTGGCAGACAGAATGTCTGGTTCTTTGTTAGAGAGTTAACTCTAGTTAGAAGGTTTCATGCCTTCTTGTCTAGTTTTACTAAAGGATTTTTATTATATACAGCAAACACAACACGGCAAAGATGATATAAACAACAAAGGATAAAACATACAGTGTCCATGAAGGCAGAAATTAAGTAACAGGAGACAAACGTCATAATTATCATCAAAAGGGGGCAGGGAGATTAAGATAAGACTGGTGTTCTATGTACGACTGCGTATAACAGTTAAGAAAAATAAAAAAAGCAAGCAAGTAAGGGGTGATCAACTGAGAAGGGACCCCTAAAAATCTTTACAAAACAAAAATAAAGAAATGTATATGATACTGATATTTGTATGCATCTGTAAGCATGTGTACAATGGGGGTGTATTTGTATGAGCAAAGTAAAACAGTTAATAACTGGAGCTCAAATATTTTTTAAATGTGTTGACTTTGTTTTCCTTATTGACTTTAGTCTCTCCAGTGAGATGTAGCCAGATAACAGGTGTAACCACTGCAATATTGAGAGATTGCTGAAGCATTTTTTTCCTCTTTATGGTAACAGTGATGGCGGCGCCAAACAGAGCCACCATCACTGTGAGCACGGTGACCCTGAAACATTCAAAACCACACTACCAGCCAGACAGCCACGCAGCCCGTCTGAGTCACTCTGAAAGAGCAATAACCCAGCCAGACGCAGAGACGCAGCCTGAGACTGAGTGCAATGAGCAAGCACAGACTGTACAACTCTTGCCAGACTCACACACTGACGCAGCTGGTGGAAAAGTTGTTTGTTGTTGTTTGTTTCTTTTGAATTTCAATGTCAGGGGTGGATTTCAGTGCACCTGTTCTGAGAGTAGAGTCTTTCAGAGTTTTAAAGCCGGCGATTCAAACTACACCGACAAACTGTATGTAATATAATCTACAGTTACTATCTGTTCTCTTCTGAGTCACACCCGGAGTTGCAGAAAGGAAACAAACACAATGACTAAAGTGTTTGCTCAAAATGAATTTACAGCATTTAAATGTAGAACCAAAACAAGTTAGCATACTGTTTAAAAGACAGGAGGTTAGCTTAGGACCTTGGTTGACAACACTACTGTGTTTTTGTTTAGTTTTTCCAACTCCCCCTCCACTTATAAATATGTTTTTTCTTGTTCCTACAGTTGAATGTTTGAGCTGCACTGTGCAGAGTGTTGTATGTGCAGAGTTTGACACTATGCTGAAAGTGGAAAGTGTCTCTGTGCTCACTGAAGATCTGATTTTAAGCGGCGGGGCCTATGAGCATAAATGGTGACATCACAAATAGTTTGGAAGTCAGTCCCGGTCCAGTATGCAACTTCTACAAGTGGGATGTAGAAACCAGTGCACATACACTGAGACTGGACTTCACAGTGAAGTGGGAGACATCTTGTGTCCAGCAGGAAACCTTTGCATATTTATATATTCTGGATTTTTGAAAACACATCAGACACACGTTATTGTTCCAAGCAAACTATTGGTAAGTATATATGTCTTAATACATGTCTGGATCTTTAAAGTATATGGAATAATGACACATCTTTCAAAATGGATACATACAATTTTTGAAATTAACATTAAGACTTTACAAAAAGGCCAAAAAAACCTTAGTAGTTGATCAAATCGGGAACATGCCCCTTGTTAATGATAATTTACATAAGAACAAATTCCTAGTAACTAACATAATATTAATGAACCAGTTATCTATAATTGTGAATAACAGACAGATATAAACAAGACCTAGATTTGATCAGCATCTGTGTGGCTGTTTCTTGTGTCTGACTGGTGGACTGGCCTCATTTCACAATGTGGTCAACAGCGTTACTCTACACCTGAATTTAAATCAAATCTTTTGTATCTCGTGCTTCCTCCTCCTCTTCTCTTGATTCCATCTGCTATCAGTAAACGTTGCAGGACTTTGACAACCAACACAAAAGCCACTGCTGAGCACTACACTGTAGTTCTGATATAATATCTTCATTAAAATGTGTACTTTTTCTGTGCCAAAAATTGAAATTTGCATAATAGAAATCTTACAATTAAAAAACATCAAGTGCTACGATAAGCTCTCTGGTCTTGATAATGTGAGGTAGGAGGAAAAATCTGCTCAGACAAACAAAAGTTGTACTTACGGGTCATCTGTATCGCTCTCTGTCTCGCTGTCAGCCCCGCCCCGGTCTGTAGGAGGATTGTCATTGGTCGGGGGTGGGCATGACGGCGATCCCCTCTCTAAATCTGGAGGGCCTGTCCGTCCGTCGCTCACCAAGGCCACACCACAGCGGGGCTCTGAAGAATAAAAGCAATTTATGTGCCAGTTAGAGAAAAGCATTACGAAAGTAGGTAACAGTGCCATATGTGTAAACGCAGGGCTGCCCTGCATACAGATTGCTGATGGGTAGCTCTATTCGTGCAAAATGACTGTGGGAGGTGTGATCTAACTAATCTATGTTATAATCTGTGGCAGTAGTAAGAACAATACTTCACATAGAGTATAAAGGATTTAGTGGCTTTATCTGTACATTACAGTAGTATTTTGTACTGCAGGTTTCTGGTTAACACAGTTTATTGTAGCCATTTCATGAGATTTTGCCTTCCTTTACTAGGTTTATAAAGACATACCTCCATTTTTAAGAGTGTTATAACTTAAAAGGGTTTTGTAGCATTTATTTTGATGGGGAAATGCTTAGAAGACTAAATATAGTTGTTTATCTTTTATGCTTATGCTAAAATAGCAATGTTTTTTGAGACTGATAGTATTTTGATAATCAATTAATTGATTCTGTCATTTTACAAGCAAAAATAGCAACAATTAGTCTGAGATGTGAGGGTTTGCTGCTTTGCTTTGGTCAATTTTTTTAGTTAATCAAATATCTTGCTGGTTGGAAAAAAACAAGCATTTTAAGATTTTAATTTTATTAAATTGTATTCACTGTTTGCTGACATTTCATAGAATAAATGATTAATCAATACTTGCAGCCCTAGAACAGATACAAAAGAAAGAAAACTTAGAAAGCTAAAATAAAGAATCATCAAGCTGTGTAGAACAGAAAAAAACTTGGATTACTGACCATCCCCACCAGTCAAAATTAGTCTCTGAATAAATTTTAGCTCTGCAGTCAATAAATAGTGTTATCAACAATGTTACTGGAACTATATTGGTGTGAACACCAACTGTGCTGATTTGCAATTCAGTCGCAACTGTTTTGGGAAACACTGACTTGGCTGCGGGTATGCCTAACCAACATTTGTACTGGCTGTGTACTGGAGTGTTTTGGCAGTCTGTATTTGAGAAACATAGCCCTACATAGTGTTTCCTGTTATGATTATTATGCTGTGGGAGATACACATTTAGAATATATAGTTACATATATTAAGGTACAAGCTGTGAAATTAGCCTCCTGTCTCCCGGGTGAAAAGTCCCAATGTCACGTCTAGAGAAAAGGAGCAGGGTCATTTTGCTACCTTTGCTCTGATTGACAAGCTGTTGGCCATCGGCAGGCTGGGCAGCCGTTCCTGATTGGCTGGGCTCCAGGAAAGGGACAAGCGAATGCCAAGGGAACACTGGCACCGACCGAGGCTCCACGTTGGTCCAAACTGTGGGAACACGAAGGGAGAGAGAAGAGAGAGAAAAAAGTGAAATGTCATCATGTTTATCCAACTCAGTATCATGGACTGTAGACAGAAGGTAGCGCTCTGCCCTCTGGCAGCATGTGAAATCCTATGTGATCGTCAGCCAGCGATGAGCTAAAGCGCTACTAAAAACTACACTTTCATAGAAACTGCCAGAGATTGAAGACCATGAATGGAGTTGTGTATTCAGTCACCTACTCTGCCCCCGTCTCCAACACACACACACACACACACACACACACACATACACACACACACAGAGACCAT